CGAAAACAATGAGGAGCTTGAGTCACTACTTGGGTGGGAAAGCTCCAAGGAAATCTTGGTATGACTCTGTATCTTCAGGACCATTAGGGCCATGAGGGTTACACCTGGTGGCTCCTTTGTCAGCTCTAACAAACTCTGTTTGAGTTAGAGCATTCAAAAAGCTGCCCCCCAGGTGGCATTTCCCAAAATTCCTGTAGCTCACATTCAGACCTCTGCTCTTAAACCTCAGAGGAATTTATTGGAACTTACTGTAATGTCAAAGATAAAGAAAGGAATTAATAATTCAGGTTAAAACTCTGGTTCTGAGCACCAGAGAGAAGTTTGGTGATATTCAAAGAATCTCTGTATGTGACTGCGGTCTCGTGTCCAATATCCTCATCTGTGAAGGGAAGGATGATGGAGCAGATGGTATGAATCAGTCTTTCCTCTCAGATTTGGATGTTCTGCTTTTCCAGGCCTTCTCCAGCTTTTCAGTACATCTGGATGTGGCATTTTGGGTCCTGTCCTGATGCCTTGTGCAGGCTGACCTAGAACAGAGGCTGGACAGAGCTAAAGAATAAAGCAGGGATTTATTAAAGGATCTCCTCCATGGATCCACCTTGGGCAGCACCAGAGCCCAGCCAGGGCTGCACCCAAGATGAACCAAAATGGCCCCAAAATGCACGAGCGCTCCCGGGGTCTCTCCCTGGGATCAGTTCTGCTCCATTGGCACCTTGGAGTTCATTGTCCCATTCCAGCTTTAGCCCAGGCAGTCCCATCCTGCTTGTTTTTCTCTCTCCAGCCCACGGTGTTTGTGCTCCTGGGCTGAGATTTGGATCATTTGTCCTTGGTGCACAGCTGGAGCAGGAATTGTTTTGTGTCCCTGCTCTGTGCAGAGAGCTCACCATCCCTGATATGAAGCTCAGACCCACACACTAAAGCAGCACAGAATCTGAAAATATAAAATCTCAAACCTGAGGCATCAGTCCTCCCTTGTGCTGAGTTCTGGGTTATTCCCCCTCCTTTGGGCTCCCCCTCCAGCCCTGCTGTGCTCAGCATTCACATCCTGGGGTCAGTCCCCAAATCCCCAGATCCTCCTGGAGCCTTGAGACAGCTCCTGTCCCTCCACAAGCCTGGCCTGGCACCTGGGGCATGGAGGTGGCTTTGGGTGGTGACATCCTGACCCCTCTCCTTGTGCTGTCCTGTCTGTGTCCTTCACTCTCACCCCTCTGATATTTCCATGTCCTTTAGGCTCTCTCAGTAATGATGTGTTGGTGTTTTTTTGGCTGGTAAGAAAGTTAAATAGCACTGAGATGATTTCAGGGAGTTCCAGTTAAAAACAGCCTTGTTTGATGGCAATTGCTTGGCAGAGTGGCACTGGAGAATTGTCAACTCCCCATGTATTTCTTTTGTACTATGCTGATCCTAAATATGACCATTTTGAATTCTTTATTCCCTCTTTTTCTTTATATTCTCACTAAAAAATGCTGTACTGACATCACCTTTATCATCTCTGTTTAACAATCTCATTTAAGAATTGCATGAAATTAGTTTTCCATAGAACTGTGGTTACTGCCACTAATTATATTACAATTTTTCCATCCTCTGTGGGCTAAGTCTTGTATCATCCAATTCCCTTTTGGGCCAGATAACAGATTTACAGTTATCCATTTGCTCTTTAACAACACAATGGATTCCTAACCTATTTGGCATTCTCTTGTTTTCCATCATCACTTGGAGATTTATTACAAATGTTAACAGTAGTTATCCAGAAATATCCGAGATTCCCTTCCTCCTTTATCTCCTTGTTCATCTACAGGAGGTTTATATATTAATAGGGACTACAAATGTGTGTTTGAATATCTCTGTATGTTCTCTAACGACACATTAAACAATTATTTATCGGTCATCCTATTATCCACTATGGGCTTTCCTTATCACTTATCTGCCTTTTTGTGTCCTAATTTATATTCACAATTTCCCACTCTCCTCTGATGGTCTTTGAGTGCACAAAGGAGTGGGGTGAGTGAGATTCATGAGCAGTGCTGGGAGCTGATGGATGACTTTTAAACCACCCCATGGGATTTCACCTACATTTATTTTCTTGTGTTTTTGTAAGAGCAAAGGTGAATTAGGGAATTGCATTCACTTTCCTTAAACTTCTCACACTCTACCTGGACAGATTTTTCTTTTCCCCTCCCACTGTAGTTCAGTGCTCTTGTGTCACAGTCCCAGTAGAATCATTGATTTCTCAGAACCAGCAAATATGTCCTTTTTTCTTAATCATTTACCAAAAAAAAAAAAAAAAAAGCTTTCAAAACATTTTCAGAACCCTCCCAGCCCCTCTCAGTCAGCCTGCTGTCATTTTGCCTTTCAAGACCTTCCCTATTATTTATGATTATGCCTTAGCAGTTGCCAGTTCCAAGGAAGTGGAAAGGTTCCTTGTCCTGAGCACCGTGTGTGCACATAGCGAGAGACAGTCCCTGCCCTGCAGCACTTCAAATCTAATCTAAAGAGACAGAAAAAAAGGTGGGTGAAATGAAGAATTATTAGTATGGCACAATGTTAGCAACTCCTTACCCCGGATCCCTGGCAGCTTTCCAGCCCCCAAAAGGACAGGAGTGCAGGTATTTCTTTTCAAGGTAAGAGCAGAGCAGGGGGTTTTGTGGTGGAAAGTTCTCCACCCTGATTTTGTCACAGAGGAAGGGGTTTTTATTCTGGGAGTTTGACACGTTTGAAGCAGGGGTCTACCAGAGAAGAGGCAATGGCTGTGAACAGCTGCTGAAGGCTCTCCTGGTGCTGTGTCAAAAAAAAATTAAAAAAAAAATAGAATCCACATTTCTGCAGCTGGGAAACTGAAGGGAGCATTCCCCTTCTCCCTGTCGAGATTTGACATGTGTGGACACAGACAAGGAGCGGGGTTTGCTTAGGCAATGCACCAGTGCTGACTCCTGCTATTCTGCTAACTGCTCTTCATTTTCTACTTACTGCTGCCTCCCATCCTACCTCATTCCTGGCCCCTTCTCTCTTTCTTTCACCCCTTCATGTCCTGCCTGAGTGCAGAAAATGGGCTTTTTACAGCAGGAATCATCTCCCTGACACTTCTCCACCGAGCTCTTAACACAATGGGAGCCCTAATCTCAGACTCGGGTTCAAGGCATAATAGTAATAATTATTGTTGTTATCGTTGTAATAACAATGATGGAAAGATTTAGAGAAAGCAGGGGGAAAAAAATGTTGCTAACAGCAAGGGAAGATTACCCTGATCCTGGAAAGAGGTGTGTATCAGCAACTTTTAATCACCAGATAGGCTTCCTCTTCCAGGGTGGGGTGATGCAGGAGTCTGGGAGCTCTGGTTGTGCTCCCTGATGGAGCATGTGCTGGGAGCTGTGTGAGCGGGTCAGGCAGGGTGCAAAAAAGGGTTTTTCCTAAATTCAGGTGCCCAGAAAGATGGGGAATGGGCTGCAGGCATCTGTCCAGCTCCATCAGCAGACAGTGGCCTGGACCTCACAGCCAGAGAGGTCAATGTTTGGCCGCTTACGGGGTTTGGAGCTTGGGGTTAACAGCCAACGTGGGCATGTGGGGCTTTCTCCCCCTCTCATTTCTTTGGAGCACAGCAGATAAATAGCTCCAGGTGAAGGCCTGCACATTCTTTATGAAGCAAAACGTGCTGTCGGTGTAAGGAGGCGAATGTGTGGCCTGGGGCACCATGTGCAATGTAATGTGTCTCGAGTCCCTTGCACGGGCTTGTTTGAAATATGTGTCAATAACACCAGCAGCAGCAGCAGTTTGCTGCTCAGAAAGGAAAAGGAGGTGAGCGTGCTGGGGAGAGAGGGGAAAGCAGCGTGGGGTGGAGGGCAGGTAGGTCCTCATCCTCCCCCACCAGCCTCCTCAAAAACCCCAAAGCTTCCCCTCCTCCCCACCACCCACTTGGTGAGATCACCCTCATTGCAGTGAATACCCAGCACCAGCACTTCCAGGAGAGAGCCAATGTATTCACTTACAAACTCATTTTTACAGCAGAAGCAAGAAATGAACTCTTGCAGGGAGAGGGGGAAGCCTCTAATTATTATTTTTAAGGGCGTAAACCAAACTCAGGTCAAAAATTACGGGGGACTGACTGTATTCCTCTTCTTGCTTCCTGTTCTAGACAGGATTCGGGTCTCAGTGATTTCAGCAGAGTCAAAATTAGCACCTGCAAGTGCCACGTGTGGAAAGCCACAGTCCTTGTGCACAAACCTCTTTGCCACCACTGCCATGGGAGAGTGGCCCCGGCAGCACCAGCAGCTCTCACAGGGAAGATGGGTCATCCCTGGGGGAACTGGCAGATTCCCTGGCTCTGGATATCTCTGGATCAAGAGTGGGCACCTTTCTGGAGGAGGTGATTCAGCCACGGCCAGTGGTGTAGAGGAGATGAGTTAATGGGTGGTCTGACTCGGTAATTATATACGTTGATGAATCCGTAAGATTACGGTGTTGTTGGAAGGGAGCTCGGCAGAATTCCTAAGCTTTTGTGACTGCCTCTCACCAGTTCCCCTGCCCCAGCTGAGGAAAACCATCTCACAGGGAGGCAGGGGAGTGGAGTGGTGCTGAATCTTCAGTCCAGAATTCTGTGTCCTAGGGAGGACGTTCCTGGTTTGGTCTACAGTGCCAATTGCTGGGCTTGGGTCTTTGCTCCTGTATTTGTTATAATTCCCATGGAGGGGGTTTCTACCTTGCTGCAGCCTCCCTCCTCCTCTCAGCAAGCCTCTGTGGAGCTCAGAACTGGACCTTTGGCCTAAGGGGTTGGTAGAGGTGAATGCAGACCTCTTGTTCATCACCTGACTAAATAATCCTGAGGTCAAGGTGGGATTCATCCCGTTGGACACCTGCACTGCCAGTAACTCACAGCTGAGGTATCACGGAATCTTGGAATGGTTTGGGTTGGGAGGGACCTTAAACATCATTCCATTCCACCCTGTGACATAGGCAGGGACACCTCCCACTGTCCGAGGGTGCTCCAAGCCCTGTCCAGCCTGGCTTTGGACACTGCCAGGGATGCACAGGCAGCGTTACGCTTTCATGGCCAGTGGAGTCCAGCACTAAACTGGGCTAAACTCCATGATTTAACTTCTAATTGAAACTGGTGTCTTGACTAGGCCAAGTTGCTTGTCTCCTGTGTCCAGTTCTTCCCACTGGGCACATGGGACATGTGGGATGGCTGACTCAGTGTTGTAGCCTTCCACAGGGCTGAGGGGGACACATCGAGACTCCCAGTCCTGGTGTAGATTCCCAGTGGCACCTGAAGCACCCAAGCAGGGCTGGAAGCTGCTGCACGGGTCCTATAGAAAACCTGTGTCACTTGGGAGCCAGGTTTGACCCCCGAGAGATGTCCCTGTGCACTCAACCAAACTAACCCTGGCATGTCCTGAGATATCTCACCAGCTTTTGGAGACTTCACCCGCCTTGTCCTGAGCTTCTGATTTCCAAGTGTTGTTAGTCAGTATTAGTAGGAAAAGGAGGTGTAAGAAAGAGTTCCTTGAGGGCACCCTCGATGTTTCTGGTCGATGCTTGGGTGCACCAGAGCGGAGAAATGTTCAATCAAGCCTCTGAACACGGGGATGTGTCAATAGGTGTGTCCGTGCGTGGGTACATGCGGGAAGGGAAGGGAACATCTGATGGTGGCATAGGGGTAAACACGTCCTCGTGTTCATGGCTTTGCTTCCTCTGCCATTTTCAGCCTTGCAGTTGAGCAATCCCTTCCAAAGAAAGCGTCCTCTCTGCCCTCCTGGTTGGTGATAAATGGGGTGATGTCCTGTAGGTGAAGAGCTTAGAGACCTTTAAACCCCTGGTGTCTTTGTGCTGTCAAACCTCCAGGTGTTCCTGCTTTCTGTGAAATAACTGAGCCCTTCTTATTGCTGCTAAATGCCCTTCAGTTCCTCTGAACCTCGGTGATAATCTTTGGAACTGAGTTCCATTGATTCTTTAGTAATTAATATCCTTTAGTAATTATTTAGTAATAAATTTAGTAATTTATTCTGTAATAAATCCCAGAGTTGTGCTCTAAGACAGTAGTTACAGAGCCCCTATATTATTTAGGATGTTATTCCTGTAAAATTCCTTTTAAACTGAACTTTCTCTTGTCCAGGCAGTATGGGCAGATGAAAATTGCTATATTATTTAATTAAAAAAAAAAAGTTGCTAAAATCTTGAGTGATTTGTTCACTTAAATATTTCTGGCCAGTCAAAATATCTCCTTTAGATCCCTACTTTGCCACATCCTGATGTGTTTTCACTGGCACAGGTTGCCCAGAGAGGTGGTGAGTTCCACCCCTGGCAACATCCATGGTCAGGTTGGATGGGCTCTGAGCAGCCTGATCTGGTTGAAGACATTCCTGATTATGACAAGGGGGTTGGAGTGGGTGACCTTAGAAGTCCCCAGACAAAAAGCATTGTTACAGGAGCCATTCCATGATTCTCCAATTCTGTATTTAGGGTCTAGGAGCATGGGAAAGCTGAAAACCAGGGAGTGAGCAGCTCTTTGGCTGCTCCTGCAGCTCTTTGGTGAGACAGAGCTGCTTCTGCAGAGGCTGCACGGTCCCTGTGGCCACTCAGACCCCACACAAGATCCATGGATGGGTTTGCTTGTCTCCAGTGCAGCTCCTTCCCACAATATGGTTTTGTCACCGTTCAGATCTCCTGTGAAACCCAATTATGAACATTGCATAATCCCCCAGATCCATCAGTGCTTCAGTTCTGCAGAGGAATCCAGGCTGGAAGGAATCCATCTGCTAAGCTGAGTGACCCTGAAGCTTTATTATTATTGTTATTATGCTGAGGAGGGCTCGTCTCTGGTTTCTAAAGTAAACACAGGAGGTATCTTGGCAGAGGAGCGTGCAGCACAAAGCTGGGATTGCTTTCCCAAATTCTTGGCTGCTTCCCTTGCTGCATGTCAAAGCTGGTATCTTTGCCTAACAGTGATCACCCCTCCACGAGCTGCTCACGATCTGGCAGCCTGTCTGCAGCTCCCCAGCCACTCTCAGACAGAAATCATTAGGGCTGGGACGCTGCTCAGATGTGCAGGTGCTGCTCCTGACACTGGGGAGATTCCCAAATCCTTCCATGGAGGCTCCGTGCCCCCAGCACTGAGGGGTTGTTGGCTCTTCACCCAGAATCTTATTCCATCCCCCAAATCCAAGGACATCTCCTGACCCACTTGCTTTCCTCAAAATCTTTCCCCTCCTACCTGCAGTGGGGATGGCACAACCTGGACGAGAGAAGGGTTCAGGGTGACCTGATTGTGGCCAGGACCTGGGCTACAAGGGAGCTACAAAAAGATGGAGATAAACTCTTTACAAGTGGCAGGACAAGGGGGAATGACTTCCCACTGAAAGGGAATAGGGCTGGATTAGATATTAAGAAGGAATTGTTCCCTGTGAGGGTGGTCAGACCCTGGCACAGGGTGCCCAGAGAAGCTGTGGCTGCCCCTGGATCCCTGGAAGTGTCCAAGGCCAGGTTGGATGGGGCTTGGAGCACCCTGAGATGCTGCAAGGTGTCACTGCCATGGCAGAGGGCTGAAAGTAGATTTAAAGTCCCTTCAAGGTGCCTTCCAACCCAGGCCTTTCTGTGATTCCATGATTCTTCCTCCTTCCCCAGTTTCTTTGCCATCCATCAGCCTTCCAGATTATCGATGTTTTCCATCCAGGCACTGCCTCACCAGTCAAGAAGTTTCCACCCTGGAGAACGGTTCTGTTCCTCTGAGGAACACCAAGGCACCACATCTGCCAAACCACTTGGAGAAGAAACTCTTTGAGCCACGGCTCCGGGTGTGAGAGCACCAGGCCCCAGCAGGTTTAGGGAGAGGAGCCTGCAGAGCAAAGCTTGGTCCTTCCTTCTCTGTGCTGGCTGGTGCTGCAGACGTGGTGCCATAACTCTCCAGCTCTGTTTTTGGAATTCAGACCAGGTCTGGGAGAACCTTTCATATAAATCACCTTTTTTCAAACAAAGATTTGGAGAGTGGGCGGCCTCTTACTTGAGAGTCATAAAATCATGGAATGGTTTGGGCTGGGAAGGACCTTAAAGCTCATTCCATTCCACCCTCTGCCATGGGCAGGGACACCTTCCACTGTCCCAGGCTGCTCCAAGCCCTGTCCAACCTTGGACACTTCCAGGGACCCAGGGGCAGCCACAGCTCCTCTGGAAATTCCAATATCAGGAATTGGAATCAAAATTCCAAAATCAGGAATTCCCACCCTCACAGGGAAAAATTCCTAGTCTAAATGCATATAAATATATATATTTATATATATATATATGGTTTCCTTTCTCCAAAACAGATTATAAAACCTTGACTTAACTTTAGGTCATTGACACTGTTGAGGGGGTGCAAAATGGAGGGATTTTGCTTAGCAACCCAAGAAAATTAAACTGCCTAATGGCTAAAACCTGTTCCCTTCACAGCAGAATGAATTTTGGGCTGAAGGAGATCCAGCACATCCATTTCAGTAAACAGGAGGTATCTGCAGACAATGGTAAAAGTCAGTGCTGTAAAGCAAATTAAACCTTTCCCTTCTTTCTCTACACCAGGTTTTATTGCGGTTGTTATTCTTTCTGTTGTGAGAGATCATCTCTGAGAGAGAATTTTTCTCTCTCTCAAGGTGTATACAAATGCCAGGACATCCACTGGCATTTTTCCTGTACCTCTGAGCGACTCATCAGTCTGTACCTCTTTAATTTTACTGAGATCTAGCTGAAACATGTCAAGGAGCCATGAGGATTTTTTCCCATGCAAAGCAGTTTCTTTGCAAAAAAAAAAAAAAAAAGAAGAAAAGAAAAAAAATCCATTTGTTCTGTTGTTCTGTTGCAGCAGAAATTGCAGTTTCATTTGAGGGAAAAATCGTTTTATAAGCAGTAAAAAAAGTTTGAACTTTGACCTCATGGTAGTCTTTTTGCTGTTTTAGTGCTAAATAAGAGTTGTTTTGTCTTTGGGCTCTGGTGTTGGTTCATGTCCTTCCTCCATGTGGATTTTTTATTATCTAATACCAGGTCATCTTTTGCTGCAGCTCTTCCCAAAGAGAGGGAAGGAGAGGATAAGGAGCTCTCTGCCTTCTGCTGCTCTCTACATTTCTCTAAAAGCTGGAATTCAGATCTGAAATGTATTTCTGCAGGAAAGTTTTGTCTTTCCTGACCTACTCTCATGTTCCTTTCCCACATGGCAGGACCAGGATCCAGATAAATGTCCCCCTTATCCCACTGGGACAGAAATGGTCCTCAAAGGAGGTGAAAAATACATTTCTGTCTATTTATGACTCTGGAACAGCTGATTCCCTATTGATCAGCCCTGGAGTGGTTCAGAGGCATTGAATGAAGGAGAATTGTGACATTTCAGGCCAAAGGTGGAGCAGATTCCATGATGAATGAGTGATATGAAAGGAAGCACAACCATAATTTATTGCCAAGTACTTAGAAGGTATTTTGATGGATAGCGCAAGTAGATGAAAAGCCCTTTTGGGTTTGGGATTTTTTTTCTTTTTCAGTTCATTAGTTCAAAGCGAAGCAACTTTTTGATGGTAGCAAAATCAAGCATGTGATCAGAAATCCTTTTTTTCCAAAAAAAAATCAAAACATTTCACTTAGCTTTTGAGGTTCTGAGTATTTTAAGATAATATATTTTTACACAAAATACAATTGCTTGCAAATCCACCCTCCATAAAACTGTTATTTTTATATTGGTCAGAAAAATTAAGCTTATTTTGAGTGCTTGGCAAATATGCCAAACTCAGAAGATTTCAGGGTGGGTTTTTTTTTGTGATGTAAAAAAATTGTGCCCAGTCCCAGGTGGCAGTTTCAGTAGAGTTGATAAAGTAATGTAGGAGTTTGTCCTTCCTCAGATGTTTAAGATTTGGACACAGTGACAATGAGAAGTGGCAGAATTCCCAATGAAACTGGAGCTGTGCTGTGGGTCCACAGAGGAAACAATCCCTGAGGTTTCCCAATCCAAACTTCTAATTTGGTATCGATAATTACATTATTAAAAAAAAAAAAAGCACATAACAGTGTGACAAGTTCCTTATTGACTGTCTGGGTGCAATAAAAGTCCTTAAACACATGCTCAGTTTTAAATATGTGCTCAAGCCCCAGTGTTAACATGAGGCACTGGCTGAAGTGCTTTTCTAAATCAAGGCTTTCCTGCATTTTCCTTAGGAGTATTTTATGACCAGAACAAAAAGTAGCTGTAGGATTCATTAGAGGGAAAAGAAAAAGAAAGAAAAAAAAAAAAAAAAAGAGAGAGAGAGTGCAAAAGGAAGGAAAAACAAAGAGGAGGAAACTTTATGGCTCCGTAAACAGCTGTAAGCAATGTCTCTGGTCGGGTCAGACCGGTCTGAGTTGACAAGGCAGTGTCTCCAATTATATAGCATGCTGTAGCCTGTAAAAATGAAATCAATTTGTTATTTTTCTGGGAGAACATTATAGCGTGAGTTCACACATTTGGTGAGCCTGATGAGTCAGTGAAAGCCAGAGGAGGAACTCCAGCCCTGTGTGTGTGTGTGTGTGTGTGTGTGAGGGTCTGTGTGTGTTCAGCACAGCCCAATGCATATTCACAGCACCTTCTGCAAGGAAAGGGTGAGAAATGAGAGTAATTTGCTTTATCAGAGCAGTGGACAGTGAAAATCCTGCTGTTCTTACCTAAAACCTCAAAATGACGGCGCTCTCCGTCCGTGGTTCTCATTTCAAAATTGGCTTCATCACGGAGGAGTTTCAGGATAAAATTCCCCCAAGCACTTAAGCACTTAAGCAATTTAGAAGTCCAAATCCAATCTTTGCAGGGATCTGAGGTCTTTGAGCCCAGTCCTCCAAGGTATTTAGCACTGACATAGCCCAGGCCAGACCTCAGCGCAGGGGGATGAGCCTTAATGAGAGGTTTGAAACCACAATATGTACCTTATATTGCTGAGCATTTAAAAAAGGTTCAAGCTGGGATGCTTTAGGGGTGTGGGGGGGAGCTGGGAGCATTAGGACTAGCCACAGTCCTAATTATTATTGAAATTCAGAGTAGGAGTCTAAATATCTTTGCATTGTGTAGGCATTTTTCATTGCCTAATATGTTACTTTATCCCTTCCCTCCATTCCCCTAATTTAGCACACCTGACCCAGAAAATTAGAGCTATTTTCACCTAAAACTTCATTCCAGTGCCCAAGTTATATAAGCATTGTGCTGGGGAGAAGGAGGCAGGTTCTTTTCCAGGCCAGCCAGTCGTTGCCTCACAAACACACATTCTTTCCATTTGTCATGAAACCCTGAGAGGGGTTAGGCTGGGAGAAGTCAGAAGTAAGGCAGCAAAGGTGTTTACATGAAACTTTAAATTACTCCCCTTTCATTTGCGAGTAACTGTTGTTCCTCGTCCCAGGTAAATTTATCCATCAGCAATATCATTAGATGAGTTCATTATAACCACGAGATTTACAGCACTCATAAACTGCAGTGTAGGTGGCAGATTAAAATGTTAAGGCTTATACATCTCTAAAACCCTGCACTGCCATCCTGGCACGTTTTATGAGATAAATGGAGCTGCAGGGAGGCAGATCCCAAGTGGGGAGACCTCCAGGGAGGAGCCCCAGATGTAGGATGTGGTACAGAAGCAACACCAGGGTCACTGGGACCTGGATCCAGGCTTGAAAACGTGGTTGGAGGGGCCATTATTCTGCTGCCTGGGTTGTTTTTCAGATGACATGTGTAGCAAAGGAGTTAATTGCCTTGGGTAATTAAAGAGTTCCAAAGAGTTTTTCCAAGGAACTGGGTTGTTAATACTTGTGTTCTCTCTCCTCCTCTGTTCTGTAGATCCTAAGGGAAGACAAAGTCAAAGCAACATCTCTTGCACTCCCAGTGGAAGGTGCTGAGTGTTGTGGTGTGCCTTAGTTCCTGTGGGAATTCGCTGTCCTGGCCAAACCTCAGCTCAGGGAATTTTGCTTTCTTAGCACCCACTTGAAGCTGCCATTGAGCTTATTGTTTTCCAAATCCAGCCTCAAACCACTCTAAATAATCTGTCCTGCTCCACATTAGAGATAGCAAAGACTTTCCTTGGCCTCCTCTTCCAGCTCTCCAAGGATTTCTGAGACTATGCCAAAAAAAAAAAAAAAAGGGTGAAATTCCCAATTCCTACTTTCAGCTTGATAAAAAAAAAGGTGTCCAGAGAATGCTCCTCATTTTTCCACAGCCAGTGCTGCCTCCTGGGCACCTCCAGTGATTCAGCCCACCTATCTGAGGCATCTCTCTCAGGATGGGCCGAGTTGCCCTCTGGAGATGCTGATCTTGCTCCATGGACTCTGGTAGACAGCGAGCTTGGCCGAGATTCCAAACTTTCCAATGGTCAAAGTCGGGTGAGGTGAGTCCCACGCTCAGAGATCCCGTGATGAAAGGTGCTGCAGAAACACAATGCTGCTGCATCATCCCATCACCGTCGCTGTTATGAATACAGGGCAAGGGTGAGGGAATTATTGTGGGAGAAAAGTCACCTCCAAACCTCTGTGTGCTTGCAGGATTGGACTCGGCCAAAAAATTATGTGCATACTTTAGGGGTTAGAGGAGAAAAAAAGGATTTAAATATAGCCCTTGTGCTGTTCTTGGAGGTGAATGAAGAATTATCCAGCAAGAACAGTTAACCCACTGGGTTGCAGCCTTTTTCTGGAAGGACAGATACCTGCACAGTGAATTTGTGCTGTCTAACAGGCTTACATTTCTTTTTGTGAACCTCTTTGAAATGTCTTAGTCTTGATAGCGAGATGCCCAGAGCCAAATGTTGAAGACCCCACTGCAATCAATGTTGCAGAGAGTCATAATTTCTGAATTAAAGTATGACAATTCTGTATTTAGACTGCTTAGGCCTAAGCTTGATTGTTAGTGGTCCATGCAAAAAAGAAAACAACTGCTAAAGTGGAAAAATATCTTTCATCATAATCTGTTACTTGATTCATGTCTTCTAGAGCCAAACCTATCATTTTGCTGATCTGTGTTAAGGTGGTTTCCAAGTTTTCAACTAAAACAACAATTACATTTTTTGTATTGTCCACATTTTGTAGCTGCTTGGGTTTGGGATAGTTTTAATATCATAGAATAAAACCACTTTGTTGTAGGAAGGACATCAGTGAGCAGAGCAATTTCCTTTTCCATTTAAAATAATGGGGTGTGACAATTTCCACTTCTTTTCATTTCATCTAAAACTTCTCTAGGTTTTGTTTTCGTAGTGAAACAGATAAAAAAAAGTCACAGTATATGCCAGAATACTGGTATTTTCTGTGAAAAATAAGGTCATTCAGTGCATGTAGAATTAGAAGTTTTTCTGCCTGTCCACCTGCCTGGCCTCTGGGCTGGTGGTTCAAACCATAAAATCATAAAACCATAGCATGGCCTGAGTTGGAGGGACCTTAAAGATCATCCCAGTCTCCTCCTGCCATGTCAGGGACACCTCCCACCATCCCAGGGTGCTCCAAGCCCCAATGTCCAACCTGGCCTTGGACACTTCCAGGGATCCAGGGGCTCTGGGCACCCTGTGCCAGGGCCTGCCCACCCTCACAGGGAACAATTCCTTCTCAATATCCCATCTATCCCTGCCCTCTGGCAGTTTGAAGCCATTCCCACTTGTCCTGCCACTCCAGGCTCTCGTAAATTGTGTCTTTCCATCCTTCTTGTGGGTCCCTTCAGGTCCAAGCAGACCACAGTGAAGACTCTGAAAGTCCTGTGTTTTCCAAGCTGAGCAAATACAATTCTCTCAGCCTTTCCTTGCAGGAACCCTGCTCCATCCCTCAAATCAACTTTGCAGCTGATCTTTGGGCTCACTGCAGCAGGTCCATGCCCTCCCCGTGTGTCTACCCAAGAGTCTCGTGAACATACCTGTGTCCAGAGTGGAAAAGACACAGTTGGTCCAACTCCATCTCCTGCTCCTGATCTCGACCTTTGGGATATCCTGGGATATGTGGGATATCCTTCCCAGCTTCCAGTTGTCCATGTTAGATGGACACCACACTCCATCTGTCTTGTGGCAGCCCTGTGTGGTGAGGGTTCATGGGATCTGACTTACAGACCCTGCCCCAGGAGCCTCCTGACATTCAGTGCCATTCATGGCAGCCCCCATTTTTGGAACCTTCACAGCCTTCCAGCTGCTCATTTCTCAAAAAAAAAACCCACAAAAAAAACAACAAAAAAAAAGTGGTTTTAGGCAGCCTCAGATACATGGATTTCATGCTGGTCAACTTGAAGGATTATGGTGAGGGATGAAAGAGGGTCTGTTTGGGATGTTGTAGGATGGAGTGGGGGCTGCCCACTCATCACCTGCTTCCCTGTGAGCCCCTCTGGTGCCAGGAGACGGGAGACAGCCCTTGAGGGGTTTTCCTTACAGCTTTTCACATCCTATGGATGCTTCTCCAGCCATCTTCTCAAATTCAGTATTTCAGGATCATAATACCACAGATGTATTGTGAAAATGCATCTTTTTAGAGGAACCACTTTACACAATTTGTCCCCTCTTTCAGCACGTGGCTGAGATTCTTCTAAGGGATGTGGCACCACAGAGAGGCAGCCAAAATGAGTTAGAAAGGGACAGGGGCTGAGCTGAACCTCTGGAAAGCTGGATGGATTTTAAGAAAGGATTTGGAAGAGGTGCAGCATCTTGTTATGGGGTTCCCTGCAAAGGGAGAAGCACTTAAGGCATCTACAAGAGAACATAAATCCCCTCTATTATGAGCAGATGGGCATCCTTTGATTGAACTTCTTTACCAGGACTAGCTGGACAAAAGGAGCAAAGTCACTCCTGGTGCTCAGTTTGTAATATTTGATGGGATTTAAATGCCCTCAGGGTCTTATCCAGGATAATTTGGCAAGTTTCACCCTTTCTGTTCAGCATTAATAAGTTATTTTCCCTGTGCTGGGGACCCTGAAGGATGTCCCTGGAGGAAGCCCTCAAAAGGCCTCTCCAAGATGAACAGCAAAACAAAGCTCAGGAATGACAGAATTCAGGAAGAAGCAAGCAGGTGTAGGAGTGTCCACATGTGTCAAGGACTTTTGACATGCTAAGAAGGTGGTGACCTTGAAAAGTCAGCAGAGTGGTGCTGTACAGTGAGGTCATCCAGAGCTGAAACCTCTTTTTCTGAAAAAAACCTCTGAGCAGGTATTTCCTGCATATTTCTCCCTCCTAACCTGGCTGGGGTGTCCATTCCAAGAGGGAGGGTACATGTAATTTATTAAGAAGGTGGCCAGGTACTTATTTACAACGGCTCTGCTGAAGGAGCAGATAGATTGAGATAAGGGAAATGAAGAGCTCTCTAGGTGTGTTGGCAAAGAAAAATGCTCACTGGAGGTTGAATTAAACACTTCAGGGCATGCAAAGCTTAAAGATAAGCTAAGAACTTTGGCTGTGGACAGACAGAGCAGTGTTTTCCTGGCTCCTCCTGTGCTAATGGGAAGAAAAGTCTGATTGGTTTGAAAGGAACAACTCTTTGACCCTTTGCCTTGGTTCAGACTTGAGCAGCGGCTGTTCTGTGGGCATGAGTGTGTTTGTGAAATTGAGAGCTTCAGGAATTCTCCACTGGAAAAGGAGAGGTTGGGGTCAGTGCATCCAGGAAGTGGTGGTGCTTAGGGAATTTGAAGGTGATGCCTGGTTAGACCACAGTAGATGACATTCGGCCCATTTCTCGACACCACATTTTCAAAATTACCCACATGAAGGAGATTGCTTAGGAAGAGAAGTCAGGAGAATGGAAAAATGCAAATGCCAGGTTTGATCATTGGAAACAGTGAGAAAAAAATGAATGATGGGAGCTACGAGAGAGTTGAGTAACACTGAAGTGAGATTCTGATCTTTATAGACTTTCCCAATCTTTTCTAAAGGTTTGGTTGTTGGGCTGTTGTTGGGTTTTTCTGGGTGGAGGAGAAGGTTGGGAGGTTCATAAGGTTCCCACCTGATGATCAATAATAATGACAGAGAGCTGAAAGTACTGGGTTCTCCTAAAGACAAATTGACTTTAGAGAGGGAGAAAGTGTTTACATCTGGAAGCAAAGTAGAAACCAAAAGAGGGTGCTCGGGGAGATGTTATCACACTCCAGGAGCTGTGAGTGAGCCAGGAGGAGAGGAGGAGGAGGAAGAGGAGGAGAAGGAGGACTGTGCTCATCTCTGCTCAACAGCAGAGCCACTGCTCATGGGGAGATGTTTTGAGATTCCACCCTGCACCTTCAGCTGAGGTTTTGAGATTCCACCCTGCACCTCCACACTGCCCCATGAAATGCCGAATTTGCGTTGCAGTGTCTCAGGGCCTGATGACACCTTGAGAACAAGGCTCTCGCCGGAGATTGTCTTTTGCAGATTAAACTTTCCAGACTGTAACGCAGATCAAAGTGAGGTGTGACTGTTTCCCTGCTCTACTGAGCAGGGAGCAGTGTGAAAAAGCAATTAGAGGTATTTCTATATGGTTTTGTTTTTTTTTTTTTTTTAAATCTTAGATAATCTTCCCAGCAATGGAAACAAATAGTTGAGGGCACCAACCTATAAACTCCTTTTCCTATGACTGGTGTTTTCATTCTACCACCGTAGTAACCAAAAAAACCAAAAAAAACCCAAAAAAACCAAACCAGAGTCAGGCTTGAATTTGGCTGTTCATATGATTAAAATGTATGGGTTTGGAATCCTAAACTTCATCAGGGTCCTACTGATATAGCTCCTCCTATAAGTCCTCCTGGCTTCACAGCATTGTGAATGCAGCCTGCAACAGGTTGGTGGTAGCTCAGTGGATGCTTTTTCTTTGTTGGGAACTGGGTAAGGGACTTGGGAAAGCTTTGGGAAGGATATTGGTGATTGCAGTTGATGTATAAACAAACTACAGATGTTCCCACCAAAGTTAAATTCAGACACCAGAAAACATCCACATTTTGGACTCTTTGTAGTCAGTGGCTGGAGGATAAGTAGGAACAATGAAACAAATGTTTTTTCCCTGGAGATTTCAATGATGGCATCTCTCCAGATGGGTTACAGAGACAGGACCACTTACTTCCCAATCCTAAAGCTGGGAATACCTCCTAAGTCCCAAACTTTAATTCAATGGATTAAAATTTGGGTGTGTGGCACCCTAAAGGTCAACAAGGTGACTGAGGCAACACTCAGCAAGTCCTCTGAATCCTGAAGCAGTGTTTCAGAAGGTGTCTTTTCTCCAGAAATTTTGGTCCAGTGCTTTGTATAATATTTAACAATGAAACAAAAATGTACACTTGGCATGGGCTCCACTTCACAGGTGGCTTTCTGCCAGCTGTGCACCCTGAATTAATCTGAAGCTCAAAAATATCTGGCCATTGAGATAAGGAAAATTAGTTTAATGGGTCCTTTCCTCAGTTTTCTCCTGTGGGTTCCTGCAGGAACTTGTCTCCTTCCTCCAGCTGAGCTCTCTGCGTGGCCTTCAACACAGGGCTGAACTTTCCTGGGTGGGACAGCTTCACGGAACTTACCCATCCTGGTTGTCAGGGATCATGGCATGATTCACCTGGAGATTTCCAGGGTGCAGACATGCCCCAGCCACCCAGGGGGGTTTGAGTCTCGCCAGCACAGCCAGCGGGGCAAGGCCATGATTCACGCCAGCCCAAAGCACACACCTGAACTGGGCAGGGGAAGCGTGGCATGGAGATGTCTTCTCCTCTCTGATTGCAAAAGCAGCCTGGGGTGAGCAGATCAGCTGGAGACACCCCAGTGAGCATTGGATGGGGTGACAGGGGCACAGTTTTGGGTCAGGGTGAGCTGCCTTCCCCCTTTTAATGCGATGGAAAAATGGGGTACTTCTGGAGAGTAGTTCATGCCATTTGTCTCAGCTTCCCTCCCTGGGGTGGGATGAGTTGTCCTCTAATGTTGAGATTAATCATCTCCCAGAAGTCCAGCAGAGGTGGAAAGAGGCACCTAAGTTCAGGAAATCAGCTGGAAATCCTTTGCTTTTCCACACACCTTCCACCTTGTCCATCTAAAGTTCCTTTACTGGAGGGCACATTCTTGGCTGAGCTGATTATCCTGGTTCTAAACTCCTGGTTGGAGCCATTTGGGATCCAGAAATCCTTATTTGTCTGGAAAGGATGGATTTGTAAGGCTTAGTCAGAGTTAGCAAAGCCCTTGACATGTGGTTCCTGACCATGTGAATGTCCCCTTCTCACTTCTGTCCCTTCTTGACCAGATCCTCTCCAGGAAAGGAGTTAATTGGCTGCAAGGACTCTTCTCTTTAAAACAAAATAATTTTAAAATAATTTTTATCTTAGCCTAGAGAACTGCTGAAGTCAAGCTAATTTTCTGCTGGACTTTGGTAACAATAGAATTCTTGTGTTATTTTTTAAGTCAGAGCAAAAAAGAGTGAAAGCTTTATTCCCTGACAACCCTGTTGGTAATTCAAACACACCAGGCTGTTCCCAAATGAAAACCACACAGCAAAAAACGAATGTAAACAGAAATACACACTGCCCAGGCAGGTTCCTCTTTGTCATTAATTCAGGGCAGAAAAGGCAATCAAGAGATTTAATTAGAAGAAAAGGAAATTATACTCTAAAAATCCCTTCAGTTTTAGTAATCAAGGTTATTATTAGAAGCACCAGTAAAAAACACTTTAAAAATCTATCTAATTAGCTGCATATCTGCTGATCTCCCTGCAGAGCTGACTTGTTTGTCTCCAAGGCTTCACCACCATAAAGGTTCATGGACACTCCTTTCAAGACTTCACTGGGCTGAGCACAGAGTTTACACTCGAGTTTAATTGAGATTGGTTTTTGGTTGTTGGTTTGGTTTGGCTTTAATTTCACTCCCCTCACTTTAACCAAAGCCCCACAGAATGATGCTGCTCCCCTTCCCAAATTCTTGGTGCTGCTTTTCCAAAGACTCAGAGCTCGATGGTTTCAGCTGCTGGAGATATTCCTTTTGGTAGCTCTGAATGTGCTTTTGACTCAGCTGCCAAAATTTCCTATAAAACATCTTGTAGAGGTGTGCTTGTGTCTCAAAGAAATAATATTTGGTTGCAAAGGAAATTATCTGTAGGAGCTGAGTATCTTTGGGTAGGTGGGTGGGAGGAAGAAAGGAAAGAAAAAAGGGAAAGGGAAAGGGAAAGGGAAAGAAAAAAGGGAAAGGGAAAGAAAAAAGGGAAAGAAAAAAGGGAAAGGGAAAGGGAAAGGGAAAGGGAAAGGGAAAGGGAAAGGGAAAGGGAAAGGGAAAGGGAAAGGGAAAGGGAAAGGGAAAGGGAAAGGGAAAGGGAGAGGGAGAGGGAGAGGGAGAGGGAGAGGGAGAGGGAGAGGGAGAGGGAGAGGGAGAGGGAGAGGGAGAGGGAGAGGGAGAGGGAGAGGGAGAGGGAGAGGGAGAGGGAGAGGGAGAGGGAGAGGGAGAGGGAGAGGGAGAGGGAGGGAAGGGAAGGGAAGGGAAGGGAAGGGAAGGGAAGGGAAGGGAAGGGAAGGGAAGGGAAGGGAAGGGAAGGGAAGGGAAGGGAAGGGAAGGAAGGGAAGGGAAGGGAAGGGAAGGGAAGGGAAGGGAAGGGAAGGGAAGGGAAGGGAAGGGAAGGGAAGGGAAGGGAAGGGAAGGGAAGGGAAGGGAAGGGAAGGGAAGGGAAGGGAAGGGAAGGGAAGGGAAGGGAAGGGAAGGGAAGGGAAGGGAAGGAAAGGAAAGGAAAGGAAAGGAAAGGAAAGGAAAGGAAAGGAAAGGAAAGGAAGGAAAGGAAAGGAAAGGAAAGGAAAGGAAAGGAAAGGAAAGGAAAGGAAAGGAAAGGAAAAGGAAAGGAAAGGAAAGGAAAGGAAAGGAAAGGAAAGGGAAAAGGGAAAAGGGAAAAGGGAAAAGGGGAAAAGGGAAAAGGGAAAAGGGAAAGAAAGGAGGAAATATTTCACAGCACAATGAGGCTGTTGGAAGATAAATAAAAGGGAAGGAAGATATTAAAAGCAGGGTTTTTTGCCTTGCTGTGGGGAATTGCAGGAGATATTTTGGGGAAGGATAACAATGAAAATGGTGTTTTCTGGTGAGGGGGAATGCAGAGAAACTGAAGATGTTGATTTTCTGTCCCCATTCTTCTGAACCAAGTACAAAGGTGAAATCCAGCCTGACAGCTTCTCTTTTTCCCTGCTTTTTTTTGCCCAGGTCCTTGGCAATTGGTCACCAGTACTCCTCCCTGGGGACTCAGCCCATCCTCTGCGGGAGCATCCCGGGCCTGGTGCCCAAGCAGCTGCGCTTCTGTCGGAACTACGTGGAGATCATGCCCAGCGTGGCAGAAGGTGTAAAGATTGGGATCCAGGAATGCCAGCACCAGTTTCGAGGGAGAAGGTGGAACTGCACCACTGTCAATGACAGCTTAGCCATCTTTGGGCCCGTGCTGGATAAAGGTGAGTGAGGAGCTATGGGTTTGGGCAGGTCTGTGGTGGAGTGGCAGCAGAGATCTTGAGAAACCTCCCATGAACGCATTCCCTTCTGAAAGAAATGTCCTGTAAAATGTCCTGCAAGAGACAGGACTTGAGCTGGATAAGGGAGTGGGGTTATCTCAGTTCCAGCTGGGAGCAGGAGGTTGGAGTAGAGACCTCCCCGAGTCCCTTTCAGCAGGAGTTCTCCCATGATCTGCACCCTGGGAGTGAACACAGAGGGTTATTGTGTTTGCAGTGCTCAAGCTGGACCTGGCTCCCTTTCTGACCCCGTGCTGTGATTTCAGCTCTTTAGATGATGGCAGAGGGGAAATGATGGGCTCTTGGGGATGGTTCCTAGGGACTGGACTTATCAGACAACTGCAGTTTTTATAATTTCATGAAATACAGTGAAGGTCAAAGGCCTGGGGAAATCACCATCTTCTGCTTTCTGCTTCTGCTTTCCTTGGTTGTGAACACAGTGAATTACAACAGGGTGCAAATTCAGGCAATTGTTTCTGCACCTCATGATAGAAGTGGGAATTCTTAAATTTTTTGCCCTAGGTTGTTGAATCTTGTGATATTTAAGCCCTAAGCTCAGCTTAAGTATCTGGTCTTTTCCCTTATAAGTTGGTAGGACCCTGTGAGAACTTCTTTATCCTTCTTTGCCCTTGCTGGGTGTCATTGTAAACTCAGCCTGGTTCTGCTGGACTCACTGAGTCTGGAATAAGTTTTGCCTTTCCCTTTAGCACAAAGGTGTCCTCCTTCCCTTCCCTTCCCTTCCCTTCCCTTCCCTTCCCTTCCCTTCCCTTCCCTTCCCTTCCCTTCCCTTCCCTTCCCTTCCCTTCCCTTCCCTTCCCTTCCCTTCCCTTCCCTTCCCTTCCCTTCCCTTCCCTTCCCTTCCCTCCTTCCCTTCCCTTCCCTTCCCTTCCCTTCCCTTCCCTTCCCTTCCCTTCCCTTCCCTTCCCTTCCCTTCCCTTCCCTTCCCTTCCCTTCCCTTCCCTTCCCTTCCCTTCCCTTCCCTTCCCTTCCCTTCCCTTCCCTTCCCTTCCCTTCCCTTCCCTTCCCTTCCCTTCCCTTCCCTTCCCTTCCCTTCCCTTCCCTTCCCTTCCCTTCCCTTCCCTTCCCTTCCCTTCCCTTCCCTTCCCTTCCCTTCCCTTCCCTTCCCTTCCCTTCCCTTCCCTTCCCTTCCTTCCCTTCCCTTCCCTTCCCTTCCCTTCCCTTCCCTTCCCTTCCCTTCCCTTCCCTTCCCTTCCCTTCCCTTCCCTTCCCTTCCTTTCCCTTCCCTCCCATAAAAGAGGAGGGAGCATCTGGAATATTTTCAGGGAATCTGGTGTATGTAATTGATCTATACCCACCTTGGGGAGTGTTCTGCAGCACTTCCCATCTGGTGTGGTTTTTTTTGGTTTGTTTTGTTTTTTTGTTTTTTTTTTTGTTTTTTTTTTTTTTTTTAGTTTTCCCCCTGCTGCATTTCTCAGAACAGATTTGGGCATTTCCTTCCCCCAGACCCTGTTGCTCCAAGCCCCATCCAGCCCGGCCTTGAGGACTTCCAGGGATGGGGAGTCCATGACCTCTCGGGGCAGGCGATGGAAGCAGTCTGGGATTAGACAGCTCACGTCTCCTGTAGCAATTATCCTCGTGGATAAACTGCTGCTCACCTCCCTGCTGCCCAGGGGAACCCCAATCCCACAATCTGCAGATTCCCTGATCTCCCAGCGGTGCCGGCACTGAGGGTCTGTCCCTGCCCCACACTGGAGGCTCTGGGTAGCCAGGCTCAGGCAGGGAGAGGAGACTGGGACGATTTCATAACTGAAGAATGTTGTTCCTTGAGGGAGAATCAAACCACCCTTCAGTTTTGCTTCACCTACAGCACGAGGGGGGGGAGAAAAAAAAACAGCTCAGTCGCATTCTTGTGCGGCAGATCCCCCAGGGTAGGAACATACTTGAGCTCCTACCCAGAAAGAGAGAAGGGGAAAAGGGGAGAGACAAAGCAAGGCAGCAAAAATCTGTTTTGCAGCTTGGATTTTGAAGTCACCCAGGATCTGAGTGCTGCTCTCGTGGGAGTCAGTGGGGAGCAGCTCCTAAAGCGTCTCCCCTTTGCCTCACAGACTGCCTGCACTCCTTTCACTGAAAAGGATCGATTCTAATGCCTTTGGGAAATCCTTTCCAGGCCCAAATCTCTGCCTCAGTGTCTGGGCTGCCCTTGCTGCTGTGGTAGCTCATTGCTCATTCAGGACTAGGCTTGAGCTGTGATTCAGCAGTGCCAAACTGTCACCAGACCCTGCTCCTGTTCCAAGCCATGTTCTGATATCTCATCTTCAACCAAACTCTGCCCTCATCAGACTTTTCATGGAAGAAGATCCCACATGTTTTAGCTGAGACTATATTTATGCATCATTTCTTTTAGCCATGCCTAATCTCCAGAGGTGCCTTCCAACCCTGACAATTCTGGGATTTCGGAGTGAATCACAAATTAAACAGGAATGGCATTGATGAGCTCGGCTACCACGGAATGGTGATGTCCAGGGGATCCTGACCTGCTGCTGTTGAGGGCAACACTTGACCCTAAATCCCTCTTGCTCTTTGTATACTACCCATGGCAGAGGAAGAGCAGAAATCCCCCATCCCACCCTATTTGACTATTTCCCTATTCAATTATCCAGGGAGGAGTGAAATTTCTATTGCTGGGAGTGTCCAAGTCCAGGTTGGATGGGCTTGGAGCAACCTGGGAATGTGGAAGGTGTCCCTGCCTGTGGAATGTGTCCCTGCCCATGGCAGGGGTATAACGAGACAAGCTTTAGGGTCAGGGCTGTGGAAGAGGGTTTTTATCCTCCTCTGTGGTCTTGGGAGTGTATGTTCAGGTGTGCAGCTTCATGGAGAAGCACTCAGACAGGTGCCACTGTTGTGTCTTCCTTGCAGATCCCCAGGAAATGGCAGTTTGGGTCAGTTTGGACTACTTGGAATGCAAAACTCACGATTTCTGTACGGGGAAAGAATTGGGTCTGATCTCTTTCTCTCTACCTGAACTTAATCTGCTTCTCATTTCTAATATAAAGACACTACAACTCATTTCTAGTCTCCCAGAAGCTGAAATCTTAACTGTCGGACAGCAGAAAGATCCTCCTGTTGTTTTAATTTTTAAGATTTTCTAAAGCCTTCTGAATTTACATTCTGCTAGAAAACTTTCTCACACAATTTTCTATAAATAACATATTGTTTTGCATTCCTTCATAGGGGTAGAGAAACTTAATGTGCTAATAATTTGTCCAATGTCTTTGGAGAGGTGGCACATTTCACTATCACCTTTGGAAAAGTCTAAAAGTTGGAGTCAGAAAATAAACCCTTCTTCTTTACCTTGCAAGTAGCAGTAGCTCACATTGTGCTTTCACATATCCTATAGCAACATCCTCCCACTTGGATTTTTGCAACAGTAATAGCAAAAGGAAAAACACTGTTATTTATTTCTCCACCTGTGTTTTATGAAGTGGAGAAAAGCCTGGCAATGGCCACACGACCTGAAGTGACTGCTGAGCCACAGCTCATGCTCAGCCACTTGCCTGAGAGGCCTGGCAGTTTTTAATGCAGTTGTTGCATTTTTCAGTTCACCAAGGAGAAGGGAAGATTTTGAGTTGCCTCTAAAGAGGTGCAGGATAAAACTTTGGAGGATGTAGGAGAACGACACCCCATCACTGACAGCAGAAAGTGAACAACCTGACAGGCATTTTCCATCTCCAGCTGAAGTGCCATGTATTGGGAATTGTGCCTTTTGGCTTTATTTTATCTTTTGTGGGCTGAAGAGGCTGTTCATGCTTAAGCTGTGAGTTTAGAGTCTCTCACTGCCGCGTGAGCTCTCTTTGAAACTCCTCTGGGCAGAAATATGAACCAATCTCAAGAGAAGCAATACAATTAAAGCTTATCACGGCCCTGTCTCTTTAAAGGACCTCAGCACATAATTAAGTCAAAATAAAAGTTTCCTCTCTCTCCTCCCCCCCATTCAATAAAAGTAAATTACCTCCAACTATTTAAGCCCGCTGTTCGTTTAAATTTAAAAAGGGAGCCCTTGTCTATCTATTTCTTTCACTCACTCCCACCTCCTTCTGCTAAAGACTGGCCAGGGCTTTAAACCTGCCAGCTGGGCTGAGAAATGGTTAATAGTTATTGTGGAGGAGCAGCTTTTAATGAACTATTGAAGAATGATACATTGATCGAGTAATGGGAGTTTAAGTCTCTCTGTAATGAAACAGGTTCTCAGCGCCGACCCATTGTGGTGTAAATACGGCACGTCTCTCCCACTGTTTGGTCAGGACTAAATAGCAGAGGCCAGAGGGGGGTCTGCTTATGGGGTCTCCGCTTTAGTTAATCAATCTGATTGGATTAGGGTCACTGCGATCCCTAATAATGTCAAAGGTTACGCCAAACTGGATTAAATGCTTTGTTGGAGAGGGCTCGGATTCTTTCAGCCTCGGCCGGCAGGGCTTGTTTATTAGACTTTAACACTCGTGTGCAGCCTTGGGAAGCCGCTCCGGCCCTTTCTGTGAGTGTTGGGCGCACGAGGGGGTGGGAACAAGCCGGGGCAGGGGCGTCCCGTGGCTCTGCACCCATCGGATGTGCCGGACAAATGAGGGCCCAATAGGTGACCAAGGCCTGGGGGCGTAAATTCATTCCGGAAATGATGGTTGGCCGCCGACCCCGCTCCGAGGCAAATGTCGGGAGTCACAGCAGTGCTGGAGTGACCCACTGCTCGTGTCCCTCGGGGTTAATCCTGTCTGTGTCCAGCAAGCCATGTCCTTTCACAGAATGCACAGAATTGCCAGGTTGGAAGAGACCTTCGAGAGCATTGAGTCCAACCCAGCCCCAACACCTCAACTCAACCCTGGCACCCAGTGCCACATCCAGGCTTTGTTAAACACACCCAGGGATGGGGACTGCACCACCTTCCCGGGCAGCCATTCCAGAACTTTATCACCTATCTGTAAAAACTTTTTCCT